CAAAGTATAATTATATATTAAAAAAAATTTATACAATTATAAAAGAGGTCCGTGGAAAAGACCTGGCAGATGTATATTTTGCAATAGCATTTGCTCTGTGCAATAAAATATCAGAATTACAACATTTAGTTGAGGTATTGTATTACGATTTATTATAATATTTATAATAATTGGTACATAATATGTACTTGCTAAAAATTTATCATACATAAGTATACACACACTCAAAATAGATATTTTTCCAGACAAATCAAATTAAAGAAGATAGTTTATTAAACGAACTTCGTTATTTGAAAAAGGAGGATATTATAACAATTACTTCAACAATATTGGAAACACATAACATTATATCAAAATCATGTTTAAAATCCATGTATAATTTAACTTTATCTATATATGGTGAGTGATTATATCTGTTATATAGTCATGAACAATTAAAGAGTTAATTATTTTTATACACAGATGAACAAGGGGATTATGAACGTGCTTTAGAATTAAAGACAAAAATGAATTCAAAATATAACACCCAGTGTAACCTGTGAATAAACATTTTTTAAGTTACAGAAAATTCATAATTTATACACATAACTGGTACAAAAAAATTAAATAAAAAAAAAGAAACAACTAGACTCAATAAGTAGTTTTTAAATTTTCTTTTAGCATAGAATTGTAATTATTTATTGAATTAAAAGTATCTTTTTTTATTGGAGCATAATTACCACGTTCTTTTTCCTTAAAAATAAAATTTTCAACTTTTTTATGTTCTTCCATTAATTCTTCCATAGTATTTTCTAATATATTAATTTGACTATATATAACATCATTTTCCAACCGCTGTTTGATTTCATTATACTCTGATTGAATTATTTTGTATTCTTGTTCATATTTTAATTGCTGCTGTTTTAATTCTTCACATTCTGCTATCAATTGCCCTTGTTTTAATGTTAATTTTGTTTTTAAATTGTTTAAATCACCTAAAATTACCAATCCATTTTCTTTATCACTCATTTTACTATTAAGATCAGTAAATTCTGCTTTAAGCTTGTGCTCTAACATCTCCATTTCACTCAAAACTTGTTGTAACTTTAAATTTTCTTTTGCTAATGTATCAAAACTTTTATCATTATTGACATATTCATGCCCGTTAAAAGGCGGTAAATTATTCAAAATAGCCATTTCGTTATTTCCTGTAAAATTGATATCAGTATTTAACATATTTGAAATATTCTTTAAGAATTTAACTACTGTATCCTCTAATTTATGCATTTTTTTTGTTTCATCCTCTTTATTCTGTTCAAAGGAAACCATGAATTGCTCTATAATTTCTTCTCGGTTTTTAAGTTCTTTATATTTAATTTGTTTTTCAGATTGAGTATCTTCCATATCTGTTTCTAATTCCTCAAGTTTTTGTTCCGTTTCTTGTATTTTTTTCTTTTTTTCAGCTAATTGAGCTTCTGCAGCTGCAATATCCATATTGTCTTGCTTAATTTTCTGTAACAACTTTTCTTTTTCCTGTTCTGGTGAAATTCTATATTCTTCTTCTTTTCTCATCTTGTCTCTTTTCTCTTCTGCTTCTATTATTTTGAAATGTAATTTAACTGCTTCTTGCTTTAAAGGAGATAATGCTATTTCTTCTTCTAAATAGAGTTGTTCTTTATGTAATTCATCTAATTCTTGTTGCATATCATTTGCTTTCTTCTGTATACTTGTTTTTTCCTTCACTAATTCATCATACTTTTCTTTTGTACTAGTATCCATACTCTCTATAAGCCTTTCTGTCCTTTTTTTTTCATCTTGTAAGTGCTTTTCTATTTTGTTTAACTGTTGTGTTAATTTCTTTCTTTCTTCAAACATATTTTCAATTTTCAATGAATTTTGTTCATTTTTGGTTACAAGTTCTTGGGTTTCTTGTTCAATGATTTCTTTTCCAATATCAGATGTCATTTTATCCACAACAATATTATAATCAGCTAGCTGTCCTTGTAAAGCTGTTAATTCTGTAGCTAAATCTTTAGCTCTCTTGTCATAATGTAAATAAGTAGCTCTTTCCTTATTTTGGTCTTCAATATCTTTTATAATGACAGTAATTTCTTGATTTAATTCTCTTACTTTCAGTTGCATAAGACCAATATAATATCTTTTGTCTTGAATTTGTCTGCAAATAGGAGTTGTATATTAAAAAATAAAATTCCACTGATTTTATTAATTTTTTAAACTTAACTATTTCATTAATTTTATTACAATAACATTACAAAGGAATACCTTGTCATTGACAATCCTCTACCTGTTCCTGGTCTAATACCTGCTATTCCATGTTGAGTAATTGGCCTTTCCATTACATTTATATTCATTTGACCAGGTAATGTAAATCCTATATTTAAAGCTCCAGAACTACTGGAACTAATTGTACTTAATCGTGAATTAGCTGTTGATGTTTGATTAAGTGCAATTAAGGATGATGGTGGTCTTGCCAATACATTTTGACCAGGTGTTCCTGGACGATTAATTCCAGAGGTGACATAGAATTCCCCTGATTCATTTTTTATACCTCTATAAAACCTTTCAAATTTGCTCTGTGATACACTTATACTTGTCTGTGGCCTCTGCATTATGACAATTTATTTAAAATATTCTTTCACTTTAACAAATACAATTACTTTACATATTACATAAACAAATCATTTCCTCCATTAGTCAGTTATCTGGTTCTTGTTTTACCAAAGAACTTATAATCCTTTTGCTTTGCATCTGTTTGCTGTTGCTATAGATTATGTGGTTGCCATAGAAACTAATTCATACAACTTACGTATTTTAGAATTAATTTATATCACACAAATCATGTAATTACAAGTTGAAATACAACTTTCGAAGATAGTGTAAAATTACTTTATGACAAAAATTTCCAAGTTTTTTTTTTTAGACTCATTTTTCAATAAGAAATCTACTAATATGACAACTAGTAATTAAATGTCATTACGCGATATATTTTATCGATAAAGTGATTAATTCCTTTAGATAAAATAATGTTACAAAATACTGTACAACAAACGCTTCTGTAATTGCAAAACATGTACCATTTATTTATATTTATTACCTATCATATAATATACTTTATTAATATTGCATATATCTTTCTTATATTATATTCATACAGTTAATGTCAGTCAAATTAACTTCAATAGTCATTTTTCTATCATAATTGTTATTCAAACCTTAAATTACTTTTTCGAATCGCTCTATTAACACAATTAAAATAAAAATTCAAATTTCTTATACGACTAAGCAACAACAGATGGCAGCATGATGCTGTGAACCTGGTGTACGCAGTTGCTAAGCAACAAAAATGACGCGGCGTGGCGGCCAAGCGACGATGCATGTCGGTGACGGCGGTAGCGACGCCGGTCCCCCAAACACGAATTAATATACGAGAGTCCAAGAATATCTTCAGTGTGCCTCGGGATAGTTAGAAACCAATCGGCGTTACTACAGTAACCAGCGTCGTAGTTCCGTTCACTCGTGGTAATGTGATTCGTTCTCTCGACGTATAAACGGTCCGTCACTTACTTGTTCGTACGCTTGTTCACATTGGCATTTCTTCTCTCTTGCCTTTTCTTTTTTTTTTTCTTACTTTTTGCCAATAGGCCGGGACTGTATGCACCGGAGACACATGTACCCGTTGATAGCGCATCTAGTACAAATCATAGGAAAATATCAACGTTGCTCGGTAAACCGGTTTCACCGCAACCAAGCGGTGACCCCCTCGTGCTCGAGAATGCTTTAAACTGTGACAAGTATTTTGTGCTCACATTCATAGAAACTGTCGGCTCGTGCGTGCGCGAACACGAAACAACCCCGCGGGGTTTGGACGGAAGTCAAGACGCCGTTGCTGCAAGTGTGAGATGGACGAAGAAGAAATTGACGGCGTGAAGTCGCCCATTAAAAGACTTGGCTCCACGCGGAAACTGCTCGTCTTTAACAGTAAGTTGCAACTATGCACTTGTCATTTCTCTCTCTTCTTTTTTGTTTTTTGCTCTGTATCCGCAGAGAAAGTAAATTTTTTTTAACAGGCATCCTACATCGATCGTAAGCAAGTTATTTCTTACGATACAAAGAGCTTGAAGCTGATAATCATTCGTAACATTTACGTTTAACTTCATCGAAAATCTTTTTTCTGATCAATAGAAATATTTATTGTTAGAAGCTTTTCTAAATTCATTTCTAAAGCCTAATATCCTAGGCTTTGTTGTTTGTTATAAGGGAATCGAATTTATTCGCGGCATGTTTCAAATCGAAGGGCAATTTGTTTCAATGGAACACGTTTCAACGTTTAGTGGGATGTATGCATCGATTCAATTAAATAAAAAGATACAATTTGCTTCATTTATTCATGGATAGAACAGATGCTGGTGTTTCTTTTATTTTTATCTTTTTTAATATATATTTTCTCCAATATGTTCGATACGTAAAAACGTAGTCAGTATAGTTCAGTAGATGTTAAAAAATTTCGTTATAAAATGTAGTAGACGATGCTTTTGAAGGATGTCGCGATGTGTCGATGTTTTTATGTAAGGAACGTCGTTTGTTTGTGCACGTTGCATATGCTGTATTTCAGACCTCTGATGTTTCAGATGAGTGCAGATTATTACACCCTTGTGGAATGCTAGCGCATTCAAAGGTTGCGTTAAACATTCCTAGTTACTGGCATATATGCTTGGGATACGTCTGTTAGGTGAATGTGCCTACATTTTAACATAAAAGAAATTATTCAAAAATAATTTTCTACAAGATACCAACTATTACAATGTTGAATAGTTTTTTTTTTTATAAAAATTTTTATATTTTCTTTAATTATTAATTTTTATGTGAATAATCTTACAAAAAAATAATCGTAGATGTTTTTTAAGTAATAAAAGAAAAAACGAAAATTGTTTTTATACTATCAATGAACGATCATGTAATACCTATTGCTATTCGATGGGGCAAATGAGGTGCTTGCACGTCTCTTGGTTGAAATGTTGGCGCGTCGCACTTGAAATTGCCTCGTCTGCATATTAAAGTCGTGGGAAGCAACAGGGATAGGTTTCACGGCATTCTATATTCGCACTAAACTCTCTCATACTCGACACTGTTAAACATATCTATCTTCTCACTATACACTACCTCGTGAGCATGTATTCGTTCAGAAGATGGAATAATTTAATAATGCAATTTGTATAGCCTTATTGAATCGAAAATTACTCGACACTTCTTAAAACTATTTTTAATAATAATCAAAGATAATTACAATGTTATAAAGATATTTTTAATTTAACGTTACAAAAAAGAAAGATTCCTTTGTAATTCTCGAAATCTATTTACTTCGTTCCGCGATCAATGTACCATAAAGCGTGTCGTGCATTCATACAAACCCACCCAATCGAAAGTTCCCAGAAGAATGTACATCTGATCCCTGTTTCCATTTTCAAACTTTCAAGGTTGTTTTTATTTTATTTTAACATGCGTTCTATCCTCATCCCTCTCCATTTTTCTCCCACTCGTTCCCTGGTTGAACAGACACATGTATGCAATAGAAACATTTTCAGTATTACGATGTGAACGTGTGTCTATATTCTTTCATTTCTCGAGGCGCATGCGCACATGCCGTTGTTCACCGCGATTCCTTCCACACAGTCGTGCGTGACTGCGCGACCGTTTCCTCTATGCATTCTGATTTTTGTGTTTATGCCCGCACGGCTGCAACATTGTCTGTTTTAATATCGATTTTAGTAACCCGCCGCTACGTGGAGCTTACCATACCGGTGGATGCGTTAGATGTCGAACATGTTTGCAGATTCTGTTTACTCGCTAAAAATCTATGCAAGTGATATGTATGAAAATAAGGTTAATTTAAAATCCTAGTGCATGTACGTTACATATCTCTATGATATACTTAGAATTGAATTACGTATGATATACATGCCTAGCAGAAATAACAAAAATAGTAAATGTTGAGAAACTGAATTTGCTTAACAATCTTGTAACAAAAGTAAGCTTTTCATGTTTATTTAAACACAAAATTAATAAAATGTGTAATATAAATATTACGTATAAATATATAGATACGATGAATCTTGTCCAGCCTCTCTTAAGCCGCCAGTTATAGCATGCAACGACACATACATAAGTCAATTTAATTTTTTGGTACACATACATATACACTTACCAAGCAATTCATTTTAGTTCAGTTCATTAACGACAATTCTCTCAGGGGTTCAAGGAAGGAATTACAAAGAACCAACGTAGGTATCCTCCTTTACAACTATATCATTGTCAGATTAATTAACTCGTATTGTTTAATTTTTGATCTGAATATGAAATTGAGAAGTTGTGAATATTAATTATGCAATTCGTAACGACGGTTGGGTATCATACGCGCTATAGGTGCGTACGCATATCGAAAAACTATTATTTGTAGGGAATGTATGCATTGGTAGATCATAAACTTGCTAGGTGAAAATGTCACAAGTTGTTCAGAACACCAACAGAGTTCGCTAACGAGGTGGCGAGACAAATGTATAAAGCACTAAGGTTGTACCGGTGACATTTAATGCTGACAGTATAAGAAAATGTATGCAGCTGTTGAAGTGACGTAATTTCATGATTTATTGTGAAATCTATCAAGAAAATTGAAATAAACAATGCTAAGTAGATAATTTCATATTTTTAATGAGAAAAGATGTAAGGAAGTAAAAATTTTGCGGAAAGTGGAATTATTTAAAAATGTAAAAATAGCATGCATCGATGTACACAGTCCTTGGTGTTTTTGATGTCGTTTTTATGCATAACAAAATATACGGAAGTAATTATCTTAGTTTGTCACGAATCTGATGGGTCAATAAAAACTCAGTCAATAAACCTTTTGGATAGGTGCGCAGTAAAAAGGCCAAGTGGTATTGAATTTACACGCTTATCTGGATGAAGGTCGGAACCCCGAACGATCTCGCTTTAAAATAACGGTACTACGTAATGATCACATGAATAGAGGTTTGGTTTTAGAATAGCACTGAATGAACTTCGTTTGCTATAACCATCCACTGATTCTAGGATGTTCCACGTTAAAATTTACTTCTTAAAAAAGGAAGTAGCATAACGATAATTATTGTGGTTGTTATTGTTATACAATAATTATAGAAATTAAATTATACAAATAATTATCAATTGTGTTTAAATCAGTTTGTGATGTAATGAGACATTGAAGGGATATGAATTTGTTTAATGTTAAATGTTTTTGAAAATAATCTAACAATACGACTTGAACTGTAGGAGGAACGACATTGATCGGTACTTATTTACATAGGGTTAGCGGCATGAATGAAATAGCGCGGTATCCCATTGAACCATTTGGCTAACCTAACCAATTGCGAACGTACTCTAGGTTCACAGTGCAGTTTTCGTAAGTGCTTTTATGACGTTTCAAATTTAATGCACGATTACGTTTGGAATAAGTACCTACTGTTTCTGCAGGAAAAAAAAAGTAAGACGATAAACGTAGGAGCGAGTTTATTTTATCAATCACTATTAAAAAGAAAAAAAAACAGGATTTGTAAAATGATTTAGCCGCTTTACTACACCATTTTTCGCAATACAATTTAACATAAAGTACTTACAGCAAGTTTGAGTTTATTGAAATCTTGACAAAAATGTGTGTAACTAGGTTAGATACAAATCTCAGTCGGCAAAGAGGCGATCACGTAGTGGTGCTGAAATGGCTACCAAAAAGGTTAAACGTTTGTTGACCAAACGAAAACTATGATTAGACGAGACGTAGGCCTGTATGGTGTATGATGTGTGTGTGTGTGTCGCATGAAATTACGGCCGTGAAACGGTTCGTTTCCACGTGGTGAGATGGCGGGGAGGCAGAGACAGGACGAGCGATGAGAACACAAGCACGCAGGGAGTAGCGTACACACGGTGGGACACGTGCACTCTGTTTGATCAGAGTCACAGTCACGGTCACGCTTCGAGGGTTGGACGAGTCTATATAGAACACAACGGCGGGAGACTGGTGTACAGTGTATAACCACCCGTGAGAGACGAGGAGAGAAACAAAAGCGATGGCGCGAGTAACGCTCATTGATTCCCCTACTAGCGCTCGGCCATCTCTTTTGCACCGTTTTGCCTCGCTTTATTACCATTATTTCATCTCTTTTCGTAACCTCTCTCTCTCCTTTGCGCGCGCACGCTTAGTCTCTCATTAACCCTTTACCTCTCTGTTAATCTCTCTCTTTCTCTCTCTCTCTCTCTCTCTCTCTCTCTCTCTCTCTCTCTGTCATATTCTCCATCTCTCTTCTTGCACGGTATACTTTCCGCAGGACACTTCTGCAACGGTATTACGCGATTCAGTTGATTTTGAAACGGTGCATCGGAAACATGGAATTTCTTTGGTAATCGGTTTTCTACAGACTCGTCCCCTTTTTCTGTTTGCAAGTGAAACGCTTTCAACGTAGAAAGTTTGCAGCGATTTTACTTAGCAACTTCGAACGTTCCTTTCCTTCTTTTTCTTTCCATTACTTTTCAGCGCTGCACCGACCTCACTCTGCATATCGTAGAATCGTCACGTTTACGACAATCGCTGTTTTGAGGACGCGCCAGTGCTTAACAATAGAAAAATATAGTAACCACGACTGTCCCGTTTTAACCTTTTTCCGCACGCGGTCAATTTAATACATGGAATTCAATGCTTGTAACACAATAACAGCTCCTTTGTCATGAAAACAAGTACACATTTGCGATATATAGATTAAATTTAAATAGAAAATATGTATCTCTACAAGCAGCAAGTCAGATAGAAATAACGATAATAATACTGTTAATCTAAAAATACAATGAAATTAATAGGGGTCGGACAAAGGTGTGAAGAATAACCGGGTCCGATGGTGTACTTTTTCCGTCGTTTGGTATAATTTCCAAAATCTCATTTAAAAAATCTATAATCTCGT